TGACAAACTCTCTATTCGAATAGAATTTATTTTTCCAACTACAATCAAGAGTGATGAAAAAATGCAGACATTAGATAATATCATTCAAGAGTTCGTTTCAACCATTATAAAAATACAAAGGGCTTCTTTTTTTGTGCTACAAGATTTCACTACTCGTACCTTGTAAAACTCGGATAAGAAGAATAAAAATAAAAGCGATCAGATTAAATGACATTTTTTCCAAGTTCAAAAAAAAAGTTGCGGAATCTTTTTTTAATGTTCTCCATTCTAGAGTTTCTGCAATCTCTATCAAACAGTTTCAATGATATTCACTTGTATATTTGTGCACTAGACACTTTACTCTTTCTAACAAAACAAAAAGATAAAATCTGTACGAGATTCCATTACAGCGCCACATCAAAAACAAAATTAATGCAGAACTTTTGCCCCATCCATTAGAAGGCCTTATCGATGTATACAGGATGAACTAAAAGTAAGGAAACACAATATTTTTTTTAATTTCGTCTCTATACATGAAAAATAAAATCTCTTATTTATAGCACATATACTAGATAGTAGTTGTTAGTAGCGTAGCATATCATTCGTCTCTGGGCTCAAGAGTTTGTTTCAAAGACACACCGGTTTATCCTATGTACTCCTGTGTGACTAGAATAAGAATTATTGCTTTCTTGTAGAATTTGATAACCAATTTTCAACCTAAAACATATTTGTATTATTTTTTGCATTGTTTTATCTCCAAGAGATTCAGAAAAGAATATACTATTCAATTTATTCTTCAAATTAGTTCAATCAAATAAAAAAAAAGCGAAAATAAAATTCGACCAAAAATAGTCAATTTTTCTACAGTCACAAAAGAGTATACAAAATATATTGATACGATTTTGAAATAAATTATTAAGCCTCGAGACTGATAACAAACTATACATGTGACTATTACTACCTAGTAAATGCGATATAAATAAGAGGTTTTATTATTCGTGTATAGAGATGAAATCAAAAAAATATTGTGTTTTCTTACTTTTGATTCATCGTGTATAAAAATAAACTGAAATTCATTTGGAAAATTGAAAAATTTTCCCTATGGGAGAAAATATTTGTCAAAAAAGTTTTCTCAAATGCTGTTAAATTTTCAAAAAATTTCCCCGAACGGCCGTTCGCGCACACGGGTAGATTCTGCACATCTGCTGATATTCTTCCACACTTCACATCCATAGCCATTCTTCCAAGAAATTACATTCCGTGTCAAATAGTATATGTCCAACAGTTGATTTTCTAAAACTGCTCTTTTGAAAACAAAATGAGAAAGCACATAGGGTGGAGTGTGGATGTGGAGAAGATTGACACCCGCGCACACCCTCAAGCTGCAAAAGAACTACAACGTAGTTGATTTATTGATAGAAATGGTTAAATTACATCTGTAGAAAAGCAGCATAATGTTTGTATGAATATGTTAACAGTGACAACGACTAAATAAGTTATAGAAACACTCAAAAATGCAAAAGCAGGAATAGGAAATGTAAAAATTCATGATCAAAAAGATTTGTCAGAGGTCAAAATTGGTGAATGAATATTTAATCGAGGGAAAGAATGTAGAAGAAAAGTAAATAAAGTTGATTTTGAATCCATACTGGATGAACTAAAAAGTCGATAGGGCAGTTTTTTGTAAATACAACAGCGAAAAGATACAGAAGATGATGATGAAGATCATCCAAATAAAAAAAAATTGGTAGTTTAAAAACAAACTTTTTGTAATTTCATTAAATATTTTTTGATTTAATATTGATCAATAAACGCATCTAAATCGTCAATATAAAAGTTTCGATCACAAAGACGGTGGGATGTGGGTATGGGTGTGGGTGTGGACTAGGAGGAGACCAACATCCACGCCCCACACTCACCCACATCTTTCCACTATCTCTACCTATTTATTTATTTTTCCATATCTAGATCTACCTATGTATCTTTTCATATATCTATTCTATGCATCTATACAACTGACTAACTATTTCTCTATCAATCATCTATCTGTCAATTATTTAATGAAGTAATTTTGACAGTATATTCTAGAATATCTTGGATCCGATCTAAAAAGTTTTCAGTCACTTAGCAAAACATTCGAAGTGCATGATCCTTTCGGGCGAATAGAAAAATCGATATTGTTATACAATGCACCAGAAAATAATCATAAGTATCGCTTTGAGGCCACTCACATGCAATTGAATAGCTTGAGAAGTATATTTTTTGCATGAAAAGCATCAACAAGATTTCTCATTAAATATGCATTGTGTTTATTTCGTTCTAAGGAAAAAATAGCATCGTCACCTCTATTCAAACTATTAATGTATTAAGAGATGATAGTTGTCCTCTCACTACACACAGTTCAAACTCCAGGAACAAGTTCCCATCGACTGTTACCATTCGTAAAAAAGCCGCCTTGCTTGAATGAAGTGCCACTTGTATTACATTCATCCATGAGTCTGCGTGTGATTTCAAAGCAGTGTTGATAGTGGAGATTCCAGCCCCATGGAGATGTGTTTTGGGCTTGAATTTTCAAGCGGCTATTACCAACTTGATGCCAGGTCACGGCCACTTCTCCAGGTGAGAAGTATTTATTATTCCACATATCACAAGCAGCATTTGCTCCTTTGACCATATCGGCTCGATTAAAGCCCTTGCCGTAATTGTAACAAACGGCATTTCCCTCAATGCATTCGACCAAAGGAACAACGGAGATCGTGAAAAAAGCTAGTAGTGTAATGGTCATTCCATGCATTTTGTTTGCCGTCAATAACGAAATGGAACAGCTATCGAGTGCATACACAGTTTAAAAAAAAGAGAATCACGAGATAATGGTGTGAAATAAGTGCAGATGGTGTTTTGTGTACCAACCCACAAGCAGAATTGGGCGAGCACAAGGTTTTTCGATTATAGATGCTTCAGTGACGAGTACAATCATAAACAGTGTAGGTTCCTCATCTTCCTCAAGGCAAATGAATGGATGTTTGGATCTTAACAATTTTTCCTATCAGAACTCATAAAAAAAGAAAGAGTGGGGGTGTGGATGTGGGTGTAGATGAAGAGAAGATCCGTACTCATACCCATACCGACACTCCGAACATACGAGTCATCTATAACGGGAAATTGCAAACGAGCACAAGTGAGTGAGACATGTTGCATCATTGGTAAAATTGTTTGTTGTCATTACTAGCTAGTGATTCACATGTAATTTTAAGTTCTAACAAACAAAGCAGATGAATTTTGTGTCACGGAGAAATTGAGCAACGGTATAATCAACATTTACCCTTTGAAGATTGAGACTACAAAGATGAAGAAAGACAATGATTGGGAAGATGAATGTTGCTTTCTTTTTGTAGTTCATAATTACTATGATGTCACAAAAATATGTGTTTTAGAGAAGTCCGGTCGTGGTCAAGTTCCATATTTAATTTATTTTGAAACATAAGATAGACCAGTCAAAAACATTCAAATACATGTTGGATACTGTGATTTTGATAATGATGAGTAAGTGTATATCATATGTCGTTTATAAGTGCGTAGACAACTGCTTGCCATTGCATAGATATATAACTACTGTATATTTATCATTTATATATGGTATTCCATCAGAACCGAAACGTTTGTTCAATTTATCTGATCAATGGTATTTTTTGTATGGCAATAAAAACAAAGATAAATTGAAGTTCGCAGAAATTTTCTGTCAGTGTTAATTAATGTTGCTGCGTTCTGACTGTATATAGGCTTTAATGTGGAAGTCACGCGTGGATTTGTGCTAGTTCCGGATGATCAAGATCACTTTAAATTAAAATTACAAACACCACTAGTCCATTCATTTGGTGATTAGATCACTATTGAGTTTAAAGAATTACAATAGCACACGATGTGTTCATTGTAATAAATTTGTTTTCGAGCGAGGAAGTTAGCAAGAGTTACAATAGGTTAATATGTTATTTGGTGATTACGATTGTTGCACATATGCAATCACTGCAAATGGTAGTGAATACAATTGGCAGCATTCAGGACAAACATTTGTCGTTTAGATCCGTGACGGACAAGTCAGATATGGATGCAAAGACAAAGTATCATATGGAACTTAGAAATGATTAAAAAAAAAAGAGAAATCGTACTTGGGATGTACACACAAATGCAATAACAGCCTATGCTAATATTGTAAAAAAATAAATCAAAATTCTTCTTCATGACGATGTTTATCCAAAGATAGAAATCCGTTTCACAGAGAAGTCGATGCTATTTGCTTGAATAATCAAGCTAAAATCAGATCGCAATTTTTCTAGAGATAATGTTGTGTTACACTATAAAAAGACAGTTTTGTAGAGGACCTATAAAGAGTTTTTAGATTTATAACTATACGAAACCCCTTAAAATTTTCCAAACACTCGGACACGATTTTGAATGATACAATAAGTCTTAATCTCGAAAATTTCTTCTAGGCTGAGGATTATCCATCTCTACCCACCATGAATGAATACACATATGCTAAAAAAACAAGAGAGAACATAGATCACTAATAGTGTTGCACATTCCGCCGTCATATGTAGTAATGCGAATTGCTAACAATCCAATAATATGTCCTATGCAATAGTTAAATATAATTGGCTATAGGTTTTTTTACTCTTGTTCTCGTGTAACACATGACTGAGAAGTACGGTTTTTTCTTTTCTTTTTTTTTCATATTGTAATATATTCTTTTTCTCTTACTGACTCAATTCAATTCAGATTTTTTTGTTAAGTTATGTTAAGAAACAAAAATGTTTAAATAGGTAAACAAATCTTCATGTTGTATGTATATTTGATAAACAATATAAGACAAAACGGCTATGCTTCGAAAGAAAGAGATTAAGAGATTAAGATTGAATTGTAATACAATATAGAAATGATAAGTGAAGTGTAACGGTCAACTGTTGAGTGTGATACATTAGATGTTTTTATTGTATATTTGTCTCTATGTAGATCAAGAGACGATGGCAAATAGTGTAGACAAACAACATCCTTGGTTTGAAATTTGTCATCCATATCCGACAGCTAAATATCAAGTATTTATTTTTCCAGCTGCTGGTCCCACAGGTATTATTTATGCTTTAAAATCTTACGTTATAATATTATTTTTTGAGGTTCATATTATCGTGAATGGGATAGAGACTTTCCTGAACATGAATTTTCAATAATAATTTATCCAGGAAGATCAATTAGATTTAATGATAAATTAATAACAGATCTGAAAGAATATATCAAACAATTGGATGAAGGACTTTTACCATATATTAATAAGGCATGTTTTTTTATTGGACAGGTTTGTTTGTTTTATGATTTATTTTTAATTTTTGTTTTATTTTCATTTTTATTTAAGTCTTGGATGTGTAATTAGTTTTGCATTAGCTAAACATATGATTGATACAAAAAATAAAGGAAATTTAATTCAATTGATGGGTCAAATGGGAAGAGGACCACTTCATTTAAAAAGTCAAAAAAAAATTATTGACTCTTTTATTTATCTGAAAATATATATTTAGGTTCTAATAAATTTTATATCGATATGACCGATGCAGAAATCATTGCGGAATTAAAAACCATAGCTGATAAATATCTATGAATTAGAAATTTTTTAAAAATCTTGTATTGGTATATAGATCCTGGTACTAGATATATCTATGATGAACCTTCTTATATTGAAATATTATTACCAATATTAAGAGTTGATTCACAAGTAACATTTTAAATAGCTATATTGTACTATTATGTATATTTAATATAGGTTGGTAAAGAAGTATTGCCAGAAACTCCATTGATGATTCCAATTATTGTTTATATTGGAGAAAAAGAAGCAAATGCTGATGAAGAATATTTAAGCAAGTATGAGTTCATAGTCGATGATAGATAAGCAACATGATAGCTGACGATTTTATTATTTTTTATTTAAAAAAATTCGATCTAAGTGACACTTGCATATTTACAAAAACACCCTTCTAACATTTTCACTTCAGTGAAAAGTCTCAATTTTTGTGTCTGAGTTACACTACAGAAATTGAAAGCTTCTTTTATTTTTAATATATGGAAATATCTTCTCCTACTGGAAAATCTATAAGAATTCGGAGCAATATGTTCCTTATTATTCGACCAAACTTTAATAAAAGTGTAGTATTTGTGATCAGCTCGACCAGATACAGAAAGTTTTCGTTGCATGAGGATGTCTCAGATATAAAAAAATCGATAGCCTTTTTTTCTGAAGAGAAATGTTAGAATTGTATTCGCATAAATATTCAAGTATTCGTTAATTATAATCTTGGATGAAAATGAAAAATGGTGAAAGTCTCCACCATCCATTATGATATCTGTTTTTCTTATAAAATTGAAATAATTTTGTTTTTTTTTATTTGTAGATGGAAAGAATTAACAACGTTAAAAAGTTTGTGTCGTATACGAATGTTTCCTGGACATCACAATTTTCAAGCAGAATGTGGTCTACAAGTATTATCATGTCTTTAACAAAACTTTAATAATATAATCAGTATTTTAAGAATGTATTAAACATACATTTGTTTCAAAATATATAAAAATTTTAATATACTGTTTTAATTATCTGAAGTAATAGCATGTAAAACAAACCTTTAAAATTATTTGTTCAATAAATTTAAATTGATGACTAGCTTTTTCCATTTTGTTCGGTTGTTACTTGATCGGAATTGTTGATAAGAGAAGAATTGTGCATCTTTAATCTTGATAAAATGTCATCTTCCTTGTAATAGTCATAGCTATCGGTTTTTTTATTTGTTGTACCTTCAAAATCACTAAATATATATCGGAACTTGCTTCAAATGTTTATCGAATTGAAACCATGAAATAGGATGGCTCATATTTATATAAACATTTCTAGTGTTTTAGATTTCATGCAATAGAGATTTCTCTAACGATACACGAAAGATGCACGGTACTATAGTTGAATTTTACAAAACAGAACGATAGTATCGCAATCAACACATTTCCTTTTCTGTTTTATCACTTGCTCGTTCTTTGTGTGGAATTTTTCTTCTAAAGACCATTACTCATCAACAACAAAATGACGTATGCCATATACCAAAGTACACAGCACAGTGGAATGATGTAATACAAAGTCCACGTTCCCTTTTTCTTTGCTTCGCCATTTATTCCTTTCGTAACACAAAAACAAGAAAAAAAGCACATCATAACACAACAAACGAAAACAGTTATCAACTACACATTTTACCATCGTGTATTTACAATACTTTTGAAGACAACCATATTGTTCCTCTTTAAAACACTTTTGATTGGACCAGAAACCCGATACGGTTTGTTTCTCTTAGCAAATAGTCTAGTATTCATTTATATTCTATTCTTTGTTGTTGCATGGCCTTATACTTGGTTATATCTGATTGTTCACATTGGCGTCTTCTTCGTTATTAATAAATGCTTGGCAGTTGGTCGTTTATATATTCCAAAGAAGAATTTAAGCAAACAAACTGTTCATCATTATAGGTGCAGCTACAGGAATAGGACGAGTTACTGCTCTTGAATTAGCCAAACTACAAGCACGTATTATTGTCGGTATACGTGGTCAAGAAAGAGCTGAACGTATGGCTTACGAGTTAAGTAAAGAATCTCATGGGAATGTTATCGGTCATCATTTGGATTTAAGTGATTTAGCAAGTGTTAAAGCTTTTGCTGAAAAGATCAACAATGCTGAAGTTAACAAAAAACGTAAAGAACTGACTAAAGATGATTTGGAAAGTACTTTTGGAACTAATCATAGTAAGCCGTGTTTCTGCACTAATTTATTACTTATTTGTTACTTCTATTTAGTCGGTCATTTCTATCTAACTCAACTTCTTCTCCTTTAGCTTATTCAATTGAATGGACGAATCATCAATGTGAGCAGCATCATACACATTCTTCCTAATGAAAATATTGATTTTTCAAAACCCAAGGCGTACAACACTATTCTAGCATATGCTGAATCAAAATTAGCCAATATCCTGAATGTTGTCGAATTGCAAAGACGTTATGGTAATCTAGGGATCAAGACCTACTCGCTTAATCCTAGTTTCATTCGTTCAACTGAACTAACCCGCGAGAAAACGCTGCTTCAAGCAGTCTTAATGGTCTTGTTTGCGGGTGTGGGTGTGATGAGAAGATCTACACACACTCAATGGGCAGATTCAAAATGCAACGTCAGATACCATTTTAAACCGTCGGTGTCTTTTTGCATCAGCACAGATAGAATAAGTCAAATGTAGTAATGAAAAAATGGGTTTGTGGAAGCAATTATGCACCTTCCGTTGCGAAATATGCCTGTATGAAAAAATTTACTTAAGAAGAATTTTTTCTGAAGGTGGTAAGGAAAAGGAAGAAGAATTTTTTTCTGAAGGTAGTAAGAAGAAGGAAGAAGAAAATACGATGTCTTGAATAAATATTACGATCATTTGTCGGCTGAAGTTGAGTACGGATTGGTGACGATTTTTTTTTTGTTCTTCGATTTGTGCTCTGCATGTAAATGGCATTGAATCAGAGTGAAGTAAGTAGGACTGACAATGTTGTTTTTCTTTCTTCTTTGGTAAAATATCGAATAAGCACTACGCTAAGAGCATGCACATGTCACCGGATATTCTATTTTCTATAGAACTCTACATTTGCATGTCAAACTCGATTTTCTATATTGTCCGATGATACTTCGATGAACAACATGTCCATTCATTGATAAGTCAGCCGTTTACAATAAAAAACGTTTAAGTTACTTGTTCTGTTTCATATTGGGATAGATATCAGTCTGAGCTATAAGAGTATATGATCTTGGATCAATGGTTTACTACTAAGGTGAAAGATGAGGATCATAGACCAATGGCTGATATATAAATGCCTTTATTATTAATAACATGATCGAAAATATACTAGTAGCAAAGAGGTTGGACAGATTTCAACACGTCTAATTTTGTAAATATTTTTTTCTCTTCTTCAAAGTTGAACCTTTCAAATTGAATCTTCAATTCACTTTTCAATCTTTTCGCACCAATTTATTTGTAGCAACCCGAGTTTTGACTTTTTTACCTTCTCATTCAAGTCATATATGTGCTCGAAAAATGAGAAGAGTTTTACGATAAATCATAGTTACTAGAAAAATTCAGATCTACGAGTCAATGTCTACTGCCTGAATAAAGTAAAGTCTCATACAATCGTAATTCGTAACCAAGCGGGAAAAGCGAATTTTATCAAGGTATATGAAAGAGAAAAATAAGAGTATCTGATGCCTACTGAGACCTTCATGGTTGACAACAACCCATGAAAGTTCATGAGTATTTAGCTGAAGTCATCTTGACCGGAGAAATTATAGATTCATAGATATGAGAATCGAAATTCAAACTATCACTGTAACAGTTTTTGCATATATATTTTATGCATGAGTAAGTCGAAGCATCTCTGTGAATCCTCGTGAGTTCTCATGAACTCTGAAAATTTCATCATGCTGGTATCTCTTGCGAAATTTCGATCTTCATAGACTTCCAAAAATAGGAAATGATATGTTTTCTAACGCATCATAATTGATAGAGTTTTGTTTCCAGCCAGCAGAAGAATAAAAAAGAATGAGTGTGGAAGTTTGAATTAATTCCGTTTCCTTGTGCAGCACGTATGTCACGGTACAAATCCGTGTCACTCAACGATCAGCTATGAATGTACAAATAGAAAACAACGAATACGACTTCTTTATGTTTTTGTCTTCGCATGTACAGATCTGGTTTTCAACAAGACTGTGTTGATTAGGTCAAGACAGAATGTCTTTGTTACTATTAGAACAGACCCCTTCTCATCCGTACATATTTAAACTGATGAATTTTCATTTTCCGGGAAGAAAATTAGATCTTTAAATCGACAAGAATGAGGATGAAGATATAGATTCCAACTGCCATCCTCACCGTTGATCTCACCCTTCTGCATCATATTAGTGTGAAAGAATTGCACAATGGGAAGTATAGAGTCATTAGCAGATTTCTTATGTTTTTCTTCAGATTAGAAACAAAAGAAAACAGCAGTTCACGAAGACAAAGAAAGAATCAAATGAAAGGATAGTTCTGCGAAGATGGAACGATTCTAGATTACATAAGTTTTGAATCTCTTGTGTTTTGCTTACAGAAATAAATACAATTCTAACAACGACTACCTCGGCATATGGAGCAACAAGCCGCAACAGTAAACAAGCGCTTTATTGACAATACTTTGTCAGAGCTCGAGAAGGCCAATAGTAGTCCGATATCCGGTTATCAGCATCTGGCCGTTCTTCCACTAGAACAAGCAATCGAAACAATCATCCCATTTGTTCCTGGTCTCGCAGACTACGCCGCTCAAGCTAAGCAATTATGCAGTCGAAATTCTCCTATCTTAACCTGGGACGAATCTGCAGCAATCTATCTATATTCCATGTCAACGCCTTTTTTTGCTCATCTCAATGAGAATCTTCGAGCCGAGAATCGCCATGCACTGAAACCGTGGTTCTCGTTTTTGAAACTATTTATGACTGCTCTTCAAAAGCTACCCTCCCTGACCATAACCGTCTGGCGAGGCATCTCGAGCAATATCAGTTCGACTTTTGTTCAAAATAGTATTCTAACTTGGTGGAGTGTGAATTCATGCTCAACGGCTCTCGATGTCGTCCAACTATACTTAGGTGATGGTGGCACCGTGCTTGCCATTAATGCATCTAATGGCAAAGATATTTCTGCATTTTCAACATTCCCGGACGAGCGTGAAGTCGTTCTCATGCCTGGAACTCGCTTGCACGTCAAATCCAATTTGCTCAACTTTCAAGATCGTCTCTTCATTGTTCATCTGGAAGAAGAACCTCAATCTACCCAAAAAGAGTAATATTGGTGCTATATTCTTATTGACTTTTCATGGAAATCGTTGAAAATCTCTTGAAAATTGTCTGAATCGATCCGATTAGTCTGTCAAAATTTATCAACAATGATTCTAACAACTCCTGAGAGAATTACCTCGGTTTCGTAAGCTTCTGCTAGAATACCACTGAAGTAGTTGTACCTGTATGCGTGAAAGAAGTATCCTACTCGCCCAAAAGTTGTTGCAGCTTTTTGAAGAAAATCGATGATTTAGCCCAGTGAAATAGTAAAATCGCCCACTTTGAAAGATACTCTAATTCATTCAAACAAACTTTCACATTTGGTTGGCGTAATTCTGTTACTAGATGATCATTTTAGATGATTTAGAATCAGATAAATATGCAGGATTTATCTTTAGAATTTAAGTAAAAATGGAAATCTCGCTAATTAAGATCAACAATAGCATCAAAGGCGAGAAAGCGAATGATGCGAGCGATAGATGTTTTATGCAAACCTATGAGCAAAATTAATTTGATTTTCTGTTTGCCATCTTTTTCGCTTATTCTTTTCTGGCACATACACTCCACAGAAAATGTAGATAAAATGAAAAATGTTGTGCCTCAATTTCTATCGTTCAGCCGATATCTACTCAGCTAGCTGAATATTTTTTCTAACACGCACAGTGAAAGAGTGACATGCATAATGTGCTTCATTTAGGAGCATCGACTCTACAAGACAATGCCAATCATCATATACAAATGGAGCAGTGGATTATCATATTCGTCTTAATTGGACAAAACACGAGGTTTCCTTTAATTCCATGAAATGCAACGATCAAGATGTTTATATAATTGCCCAAGAACTCAGAAAGAACACACACTGGAAACAGCTTTACATATGTCAAAATGAAATTGGTGATCAAGGGGCGACAAGCTTAGCAATAGCTCTCGAATCCAATACAAGTTTAAGGAAATTGTCTCTTACGGCCAATCAAGTGTGTAATTTAGGAGTCGTGAATCTTGCACGTGCATTGAAAGCTAATTACACACTAAAAGAACTCTTTTTAGTTGAGAATCATGTAGGGGAAGAAGGAGCCCAGAAGTTGGCTGAAATGCTCAAAGTCAATCAAAGTTTGACTTTATTGGCTCTTCAGTCTAATCCCTTGTCGGATGCAGGTGCTTTGGTTATCATAGAAGTCCTGACTAGTACAAACCGCAGTTTACAGTGCCTATATTTGGATAACACAAACATCACATTTGCTATTGCTGATCAAATTGCTCAAATGCTTCAGATGAATACCTCCTTGAAGAAACTATCGTTGGACAATAACGAAATGGGCGATGCAGGCATGCAAACTTTTTGTGTTGTATTAAGTGAAAACATGACTTTAGAAGAATTTAATATTTGTAACAATCGAATAACAGATATTAGTACCGATTACATCATGACTGTTATCGAATGTAATCGTAATTTCAAGCAATTCCGAATTATGGGCAATCAGTTTTCTGGACAAAACAAGAAGAAACTTGAAGAAGCTGCAGAAAAACACCAGTTCAATTTGAATACAACACGTGGTGGTATTCAAGAATTTATGTAATATATGTGTGAAGCAAATTGATATACAAGATGTCCTATAAATAACTTCAGGATAATAAATCTGAACGGTACAAATGAGATACACTCATTCGTACCTATACTTCAAGTAGATTTACTTTAAAATAGTTATAGTTTTGTTCGATCATATCTTCAAATTTGTCTTGACCAAGGATATATTGATGTCTTCGATTGAGATTCGAAGTACGAAAACGGGTGGATGTGTGTGCGTGTATTGGTGTGGGTGGGTCTGAGTCTTCAACTTCCTCACATCCAAACTCATACACTCACACCCACACTCAAGTGAATCGTAACTAAAAGTTTTGAATTAAGCATATGTTGGAATATCTATTAGATTCACACTGACACTTGACATCTACCTACGCTCATCCGCACACACATCCACGTTGACATCCATACCCTCAAGGTATAAAACAACGGTTTTTTTCAATTGTAGTTTTTCCTTCCATTGATCGGCATC